CTTGATTGTGACCATGAAATACAGTTTAGGAACAGAACAAATCGGCGTTGCACTCTTTTTGTATGGATTTCTTCACTGTCTGAGAGATGAGTATTTACACCAGAACAATGTTACACTGGCAAAAACCACTTTCTTATTCTGTAAGCACTTCACATTGACACAAAGCATTTACCAGCCTCTTACCATAAACCTAACTGATACAAATACAAACTTCATCTTAAGCCTAACTCTGATCTCAATCTTGGACCTTTGAGGACCGACCAAAATGTCCCCACAAGGACAAAGTGTCCCCACAACTATTCCAGCTTCACCAATAACACACACACACACACACACACACATATATATGTTTAGGCTAGGGCGCTTTGGCCCAGAGGCAATGTCTCTGTCATTGGTGTGGAACCCCAGGGTTCACCTCCTGGGCAAGTTCAAATCCCGGTTAGGGCCGATGGCACCTTCCAGTGGACTCACCACCTGCAGGAAGGTTTGGTACGGTGCAATGTGATTTGGGTGGCAACTGCTGCCCCCGCAACCCGGTAACGGATAAGCGGATGAAAATGGATGGATGGATGGATGTTTAGGCTATATATTGGCCCTGTATTTATACCAAACTTTTTCAGTTCACATCTGCATCTATATGTCTTCAAAGTTTAAGGCAAAGTAGAACAAAGTCCAACTTCCCGAAGTACCAGCAGTGGTATGCGTACCCCAGTTTGAGAACCACTATATAAATATCTAATGTAGTTATAGTTTAGAAAAACAGTTGTACAAACTCTTTCTGTACCTTAAGGGAGGCAATTATTCAAAGGAGCGGAGTTCAAAAGTGCCACACATCCAGTCAGTGATCATGTGATGTTTGTTCAGGTCGTTGATAAACTCTCAGTTCGCAGAAGAAAAACACGCTCTGCGTCAGATGTGAGGAGAACAGCTTCCAGGGGGTTATGGTTTGCTGGGTTGTGTTACGTAGGGTTGTTCCAACACACAGTGGCTGACAGTGTCTCCCTTCTGCCCTGCTGACTCTTATTTTTGTTGTTGTTTTTTTTTTTTTTTGGTGTTGTTTTTTTTGACCACCTGATGCAGCAGCCTTCATCTGGCCCGTATTAATGGACCTGCCCACACCCCCCGCGGCGGACCGACGAGGGCCGAGGCCCACAGATCCCCCATGACACAGACTAATGCATGCAGATGGATGGCCCACAGGAACTCCTCACATGTTCCACAGGGGGAATGCAAAACATCCTGCGCCCAGCAGCACTGCGGTGCGCGCACTTACTGCACATCTGGCGTGCAGATGTAACATCAGCAGAAGAAAATAGAAGGTGGAAGAATAGATAGGCGAGAAAGCTGCTGCGAAGTTCAGCATGGTCGCTCCGATGCCCTTGTGTATACCAGGGACTTTTTGTGTGTGTATTTACACGTGTGCGTCTGTCTATGTGTGTTGCTAAATGGGCCTGAACAGAAGCAGCGGCTGTGTTTGTGGGCAGACGGCAGAGAGGATCAGAGGTGCACTCTCTGCAGGGCCACAGACAATCAGCCATTCAGAGTCACAGGCTTGTGTTTAAGAAAGACATGCTGGCATCTGGACGTGTGTGATGGAAGAGGAGCTGTCTCAGGTCAGTGGAGGACAAACAACCATGTACATGCAGATGTTCTCTCCACTTCTACAGCGGGTACTGTAGAAGTGATGATGGAGAAGACCAGGGCGGTGAGAGATGAATAGAAACACTGGGGATAAATAGACCCACATAGGAAGAAAAAAAATCAAACTTGGTGTAACACAGACAGGATTGATGTCCATGCAGGAAAAGGCAGGGAATGAAAAGCTCGGAGGTATTTTATACTGGACATGTTTCATAATATTTGTCTACGCTGCTGTTTCACATTCTGTATGTGTTTCATGGCGGTAGAGGCCTCGGGCTCTTCCGGAGCAGCAGTGACATAACTGTGAGGAAGACAAGGGTCACAGGATGACATGATTACACTCATGACCTCAGATCACTGTCAACAACACCCTGTCAGACTGAACAGTAAAAACCTTTTTTTAACCTCACTTGAATTGTCATGATGTAAGAGAGTCAGAATCAGATGGAAAAAAAAAAGATCCTCAGATGAAACTTTATTATTACTCTGTTCTAGGCCAGTGGTTGGCTGCAGGGAGGGGGGATACCAAGGCTGACTTTGGAAACAACATTTTCAAACCGCCGTGACCCAGTTGACCAACTTTTTTTCTTCATTTCCTTATTCTATTCATCCTTGTTACTCTCCTTCTTCCCATCCCCCTCCTCCTCCTCCTCCTCCTCCTTCTCGTTTTTCTTCATCTAGTTCTTTTTCATCCATTCCTCGCTGCCTTCTTCTGCTGCTATCCCTTCTTCATCATCTCATTTTTCTTTCTTCTTTTTCTCCTTCTCCAGTGGACCTTCTTCCTCTGTATCCCTATGTCCCAGTGACCTCACTCTTTACATCCATAAATCTCCTCTGGTTTTCTTTCTCTTTCATCCTCACAGCTTCATCTCTAACATCTTTTTTTCTTACCTCCAAACCTCTCAACCTCAGCTTCACCATCATCATCATCATCTAAAACTCTGCCGACTCCAACTCCTCAGAACAGAGCGCTTCTGTTGGCATTCGTTTTTCCATCAATTCCAATTCTTTATTCTTTTGATGAAGACCAAATATTTTCTGTAAAGTGGGAAAAAATGAAGTGATGACCCCAAAATCATATTATGACCTAACTCTGGGCCTTGATCTTATCGTAAATTGTCAGTTTTTTACAGAAAAAAAACCCAAACATATTTCTACTGTAAATGATGTGTTTATACACACCTCAATTCACCTGTTCATCGAAATGGAAAAAAAGAGGCAAAAAAAAAAGTCAGCATGTCAAAATCATCAGAAAGCGTGCTAACAAGTTTCCGTCCACTAGGTGGCACTTGTGCTCTGCATCAGAGCACGCCTCCAGATGAAGACTGAGGACAGGCCTGTGCATCTGTAGGAATCTGATTTGTGTCTGAGCCTCATGACCTCCAGTCACACTAAGAGCACAACAAACAAACAAACAAAACACCACCGACAACTGTTGACATTACGTCTCCGGTGATAAAAACTCCGACTCTGATGTCGTCGACCTTCTTTAGTTACACACATTTAGGATCACAGAAACAACACAGGTCTCACACCGTGTGATCGTCAGAGACACTCATATGAAAATATATGCACTTGGCGTCACATGATCGATGTACTTTCCTGACTGAACCCCATCAGACTGACTTCCTGGTACAGACGAAAAAAGCTGTAAATCTGTTGAAGGACTGACCAACAGTTGTTGTGGTGCAGTGTCTGACAGAACCTTCCAGTCATTGTCAGTGAGTGTGTGCTGTTGTGTTTTGTTGTTCTAGTCCCCAGATCACATCAGTCTTCTGTTTCCCTTCCTCTTTCTTTTCTATACAGCACNCCCTCCCCTCCCCTCCCACCACCAGGGACACACATATGAGAGCAAGGTAAACACAAACCCAGAGACGGGCAGTAAAAAAAGACAAGAGACTGGAAGCTGTGGTCACAGAGTGAGTCAACTTACCGACATCCTCATTGGTTTCTGTGTTTTCTGAGTCCTGTACTTTAATCTGAGCCATTGAAGGAATATGCCTTATCTTAATCCTTACCGTAACTCTAATCTGACTGATTTGAACTCACTCAGTGAGGCTACATGTAAAATGTCCCCACGGCAACCAAACAATGGTACTTCTCAAAAAAAAATGTCCCTACTAGAACAGCTGTAGTAGAAATACACACACACACGAGGACAGACAAGCAGTTTACAGCCTAAATTCAGACACATAAAAGTAAAACTAGTCCAAAACTTTACATAATAATCCGTCTGATGGCTGACAGGGCGATGGACGTGTGCATCACTTAAACGTTAAATGTTTAACGTCAGAGAAAAAACGTCTCATAAGTTAATTTAATTTAGAAAGAAATTCTATTAGATTTAAAGTCATGGCTCACTTATCCAATTGGTTTTTCCGTGTTTTGTTTTTTTTTTAACCAGGCTACGTCAAGGAAATAGTTCAGTGATGACATTTAGAAATGCTAACTGGCTACTTTTGGACAGACGTAGGTAAGTTCTTACAGTATTAGCTGTATTAACACACAGAATGAAGGCCGTACATGCTGTACTGACATACAGCAGTACTGAACACGATGGAGTTAGCAACACAGTTGAAGCAGAAACTAGCTGAGAAAAAATAAGTTAGCCAAAATGGTTAGCTAAAAGATACATTAGGCTGCTTGTTTAAGATAGCAAGTAACTACATTGGAGTACTCACTAAATAAGCCGATGTGATCTGAGAAAAGACAAATTATTGAAAATAACAAAAAATATAAACATAACTTAGCTTAGCTTAACCTTAGCTAAGATCAATGACCAAGCGCATTCAAACTTCATTCATTCAAAACATGAACAAATGTAAATCAATGTTACATATTGACCAAACAAGCTGGCCAAAAATGTAGCAAACAAAAAAGAAAGAAGAAGATGTAACAGCCAACAGAGCCAACAAAACCAACATAAAAGAGCAATATGTTTAAAGTTTAAAAATGATTATCCACTCTTTTCTAAACAGGACTAAGTCACAACTATTGCTTTAAAACTCCACTGAACTTTTTTTTAAAAAACTGTCGTTCCTCCAAAACAATGTGGATCACAAAATAGACAACACAAGACTATGAACAACTCAAAAGTAGCTAAACTGAGCTAAAAAGAATAGCTTTGTCCATCATTAGTCTAAAGAAGACTAAAGTTTTTTCTTTAAATATCTATTTACCCTCAGTCCAAAAACAAAACAATAACAAAGAGGAAGAACCTTTTTCTAACGAGAAGCACACACAGCTGCATCTGGAAAGTTCCACGTTAGCTGGTGAGAAACAGCATGACTCAACAAAGAGGAGAAAATGAAGAGAGTAACGAAAACACGGTGATAAAAATGTCGCTTGATTATTGAAGAGAGTAACGAAAACACGGTGATAAGCAACGGTGTTGCTTGATTATCGGAAACTACATCGGAGTGTTTGTTTTTATGTAAATGTGTCTCTCGTGTGATTTGAGTCTCCACACGTGGTGAACACCTCGGTCCCGTCTCTGCTCCGTCAATGAAAGAGTAAGTGAGCTCGGCTTGTAATTACAGTAATGAATGATTCTCCTCTACCTTTTCCGGCCGTGTTACATGTCTTTCTGATCCCTCCTCTCCCTTGTTCTCCTCTGTCTCCTCCTCTAAAGCCCCCTCACCTTCCTCTCCTCCCTCCTCCCCCATTCTGCCTGGGATCTTTTTCTGTTTTTGGTAAGGAGATCCCCTGTTTATGTGGAGGTGGCTGTCCCCGGGTGTTCTTTTTTTTTTTTTTTTTTTCTAAACCATATTTACTTTGATCCTCCTACTTCTGTGTGTGCGTGCATGTTCATGTTCATGTGGATCTACCAGGAGCATCAGAGCAGAAGAAGAAACGCTATACCGTCCTAACGTACACACAAACATGTGGCTTTCTGTTATATGTGCATGTACATGTTTATGTCTCGTACTGTTACGTGAGTACCAGAGCGGCTCCGGTGGAACGCCGCAGTCTCCGATGGCTTTTTAATTGAAATGTCACTCGGAAAAATCGACCTCCATCTGCTCCTACTCTACTCCGTACTGTACAACATCGTGAAACTCCAACAGTTTCGACCTGGACAAAACACTAGGTATATCCATATGGTTATGGTTACGGGCAGACGTCACATTTTAGCGTGCTGTTGTCAGTTTTTCCACTTTTGCTTTCCTCTCTATCAGATCCTAAATCTGATCACTGCCACTTATCATAGACTGTATATAAAAACAGGGCCAGAACTCTCTGCAGCCCCCGGTGGTTCCCTGGACAAGTTCTCTTGTGTTTCCTAACATCAGTAAACAATTTCCTCACAATCATATGGTCTCAATTGGCAGTTTGGGGTATAGTTCTATAGGACATTATGGTTGTTTGTCAAATTAGGATAGCATGTGCAGAAAAACAGATGACAACGCGCAATGGAGATGAGGAAAACGTGTGGACAGTGTGTGTAACTGACAGCTGGATTCTTTAAAATAGGAGCCTGGGGACCGTGAACGCTGCCAACGTCGACGTTTAGTGAACATCAGCAACTTCGTGACGTCAGTGGACGCAGCCGACGGTCTCAATGTCTTTGGATCAGAGAGGAAAAGGACTAAAGATCCGGACCGCCGCTCGACCTTTTGAAAACCCGTGTCTGTGATTTTGGGCTGGACAACATGTTAACTTCAGTTAGAGGAGTGGGAGACGGGCCCTGCTGGGGGGTTGAAGGTGTGGACGAAGCGTTCTGTTGAATACATTTACGTCCATCCATCCAGTTTCATCCGCTTAGCCGTTACCGGGTCGCGGGGGCAGCAGTCTCTACCCAACTCACACTGCACTGTACCAACCCCCCTGAACCTTCCTGCGGGTGGTGAGTCCACTGGAAGGTACCAACCGCCCTCACTGGGATTCGAACTTCACCCAGGAGGTGAGGGTTCAACACCAGTGACCACTGAGACATTGACTCTGGGCCAAAGCACCACAAATAAATTTACTGTTTAATATTTTTTATTAGTGGGAAAAGTTTGTAATTTTATTGTATGTTTTAAGTGAGAATCTGCTTTTAGGAATCACAGTGTTTTATTTCATCACAGGGGGAAATGAGGGCTGTAAAAATGTCTGATCAGATAAAGCACAGCATATCTGTGCTGTTGTCACAGGTGCTCATGCTCAAAAGTTGGTTTTTTTTTTGTGGTATTTTGTGAAAGACATTAAGAGTAGGTAGACGTCTGTGTCTCACACCTTTTTTTCTTTTATTTGTGACTAATCCAAATGATACAAAACAAAACTGTAAAATATAAAACTATAAAAGTGAATGTACCCTCACAGAGTTGGTGAATGTGAGTCATTACCGCGTCTCTGTGACGTCGGTTTGTACGACTTGTCGAGAGTTTCTTATCAATGCGTGTTATTATGCCTCACGTTGAAGCTAACACCGGCCCACATCAACACCACAGTTTCATCACACTAATCTGTAACACAGATCACCAGAGAATTCGCCTCTGCACATTTTTCTAGTTCAACAGAAAATACACACCATCTATCAGGGATGGAATAAATTACAGACATTCACACAAATAAAACCTGTTATCTGGTTTGGATAGGAGACATAAGGTTCTTGTGGTTTGGGCTGCAGAAAATCAGAAAGCTGCATGTTTGATAAACAAGGTAAATGAGCTATTTTCACACCATCAACTGAAAAATCCCTACATGATTTGGCTGCTCACACGAAATCATTGCCGTGAGAGAAACTGTGGGACTGCAACTCTTCGTGCAGAGAAGCAGAGAAGACGGTGAGTGAACACAGAGTACCGAGTTCACATTTCAAGGATTGGTTTTATCAGCGAACATCTGTTGCAATGAAGATAGTTTATGGTTTTATTTCATCCCACATCCTCTTTACATAATTGTGTAACACAAAACAGACAGTAAAATAAATTCTGCTCATGTAAACAGGCCTGATGTCTGAAGTTTGACGCCTGGCTCTGTCTGGCCTTTTGCCCTCACACCTCCCCACTTCTCTCTGGGTCACAGCTGGGTCCCTCCTACGGTCATGTTTAGCGTTACCTGTCAGACACCCCTGAACCCCACTCCCTCCTCTGGCAGCAACAACAGCCATGTGGTGGGAGGAGGACGATGATATGAAACTGTGAGTCTCTGACCTGTGATTCCACTGACAGTTCACTCAGAGTTGAGGCAGAGATGAAGGGCACAGGTCACTTCCTTTACTCCTCTGAACTGAGCGCACATTTGATATCACAGCAAAACTGGACACTCACTCCAGCAGGACACCAGGACTGTACAGGCCTTAAGTGGCCCACTTCTGAGGTCCACAGTTTGGGCCACTTCTATGACAACAAAACGCGGTCTAGTTTTAAAATAGCAGATGTGAAGGTTGCTTGACAGAGGATGTTGACCAATGAGAAGAAGGCTAGCGTTGGTTAAAATTGGCCGAGAGATTCTGAAAATGAGTATTCAGAGAACTCTTTCTGTATGTGGGCAAAATTAACAAATGATGTGGCCTGTCACTGGGCCAGGCCAATTGTGCTGTACGTCACAGGACTTTAGTGGCCCACACCAGCCATCCATAATTATGGTCACATCTTGGTGACTAAAAAAAAAAAAAAAAATCCTGTTATGGCCAAACATTTGACCATTCATATTTACTAGGCTACAGTACGGCACCAAATTTGTCTGGTGCTGTAGATGTGGCCCAGATGGGTGATGTGAATAAGGTAGCTTGGTGTGGTCCAAACGTCCAGAGGAATGTATGTCAATGGACATCAAACAACATAAGGCCAAAAGAAAGTGGGCCACAGTTTGTGGACTAGGAAAGGACTTTTGTATTTCAACATTGGGCCACAGTAATGTAGTCCTTATTTTGAATGCTAGGGAACTTTCTCCAGAGGAACATGGTAAACAATCTAGACCAGGCGTGGCCAAACATTGTGGCCACAATAGTTTCTAAAATTTGACATGGGGCCGGGTCAGGAGTCAGCCTCATGATGGTGAAGCATTCTTAGAAACTAAGATAAATGACATGTAAAAGTCAAAAGATGCTTTTAGCCTTTTCTACACCATCTATTGGAGAAATGTGGGCAATGCAGGGAAGAGGCAGACGTATAATGATATGAATTAATAATAGTAGTTTGACCATGCCTGATCTAGACAGTACTTGTAGGCCAGATAAGGGCGTGCGGTGCAAGATACGACACTAAAAATGTGGACTAATAAACAAGTACGCAAAGAAAAACTGATGATACCATCACAGGACCAGAAGAACGTCACCAACATTGTGGATACAGGATGTAGACCACAGAAAAGACGGCTAGCTGTGGTTAAAGGTGCCAACGGAGGAGAGTACTGTGGCCTGGCACTGATGTTCCTGTATGGGGTTGAACAACTGGACATGATTGAAATGCAGATTGTTCACACACCAATGTGAGGACACTAAAACTGACCGGCCCATTGGGGAAAAAAATACATTTGTAACTTTTAATATCACTCTATTACTCTTTAATTGTCTACTGTTGTGTCAACTGATGCACTAACCCGAGTTGCTCTTTCTCCATCTTTGCCCATTTATTGTGTTTTTCAAATATGATATCAATTTGTCTTACAAAACAAAATGATTCTGTTTCATAAGAAATTATAGGCTTTTGGTTCCAATACTTCACTTCCTCAGCCGTGTGTGTGCGTGTTTGGGTGTTGGTTTTGTAATCGTTTGACGTTGCGGTTGTCTTCATTGGCTAACGTTTCACACAAAAGTGTGTGTAGCATCACAATTTTCGTTGGCTGCGCTTCCCTTGGCCCCACCTCCGCTTCACCCCACCCTGAAAAATCCACTGCCGTGCTTCAAATTATTTTATCTGGCTCCGGACGAGCTTTGAAAATATTATGGGAGGTAAGCTCATGGATGTGTTAAGAAAAATGGATACTCCTGTGGCTCAGCGCTCACCATTATTAAAAACCCAGAAGGAAGAGCTGAAAGAAAAAGAGTTGAATATTGAGTCTCTGTGGTTCATTACTGGGTCTCTGGTTCAAAGCTATAAAAACTTTAGGAGGACCAGAACAGGACCAGGGAGGACCAACAGTCCTTCTCCAACCTTATGTCGATGATACTTTTATTTTGATTACTGTCTTACTTTTTTTGTTCAGGGTACAAAGTTGATGCAGAAATAGAGCAATAAGCAACTAACCGCAACAGTTTTAACATTAAATGCATATATATAAAAAACAACTAATAGTCGACATCTCATCGACTTCTTAGTTTCTTTGCAGGAACCACAGAAAAAAGGAGAGCTGTGCTAACACTAGCATTAGCTCCAGTTGGAGGTGCATGCTTTGTTTTTGCTATGAATCCAGTGTAAAAAGGAAAATGCTTTTTTGTGTTTGTGGTTTTTGATACAGAACCACCGTCAACCACTGAACCTAAACTGTTGTCCTAAATGGACTTCTGGTTCCTGTAATGGTTTCTTTGTATTGTACTCTAGAACCTAACGCTGAAGGAAGATGAAAACAACAAAACAAACAAGTCTGTAGAGTGTCAAAAGTCCTTAACTGTTCATTACAGTCAGCCTGGGACCATTCGTCTCGTGTCTTCTAATCTGGACTAGTGCTATCCTGAGGTTTCCATCCTCACATGGACGTTCAACTGACCCAGCACTGGACCTCCATGAAGGAGGTCAAAGGTCAAAATCAAAGCAGGTGGCTGGGATAAATGTATTTTTAGGCACTAATGTAGGTCAAGCTCCAAAAATATTGAATCCTACATTTCCCACAGTGGAACAACAGTGATTTTTAATTAGTTCCTGCCTAAAAATAAATCTCCCAAACTGAACTACTACACACACGACACTCTCCACGAGGTCTAGAACATTTTGGTTCCAATCTAAATATCAACACTGATGTTCCGACATGAACTATGAGATAAGGAGTATTTTCCAGATGATGGGTTACAGCCCCACCTACTGGTTGCACGTCTTCCTCCTTTAACAAAACAACTGTCTGTTCAAATAAAAACACTACTGTGAGAGCTGACATTTATGAAACTACATTTATAGATAAAGTTGAAGGTACATTTTATGTCATCTTTTTTCTTCACTCTGTCTTTGTGGGCCACACACCCAAACAACACCCTGATTTGATATTCTTCACTCTGTCTTTGTGGGCCACACGCCCAAACAACACCCTGATGAACTTACGTGGCCCAGCCTAAGGGCATGTGGGCATACAGTGGACCACATGTCAAATGGGAGACCTTTAACCAAATGGGTCGCTTTTATTAGGGTGGCATTTTATATGGATGACACGTTTTATGGGACATGTCTGGGACATGTTTACATTTGTCTGACATGAATATAATGTGGCCAGCTTGCAGCCCGCATCAGGCAAATGACTGCACCGCTCAGTGCCATGGTTTGACTCCATGTGGGCCAAATGAAAGTTTCATATGAGCAACTTTTCCAACAAAAGCCTTTTACTACCAAATACCTTCAGACAGTTTTACTACCAGGAACTAGTTTAAGGAACTCGATGGTTTCGTCTTACACTGGCTGTTTTTAGTACTCAGTGAGTACTCTGTAAATATGATGTAATTTCATTAATTTCACATGGCTGTCTAGGGTTAAAGGTCACATGAAAACAGACACATATACTGCCTCATTTTAAACAAATGAAAAGATGAGGGATTGTATTACTATTCCTCTCCAGGCCATTCTTACTGTTAAGGTTCACATTAGCCACTGTCTACACAGACCCCCTGTGATCATGTTGAGACAGGTCTCTCAGGTGTCTCCAACAGTTTTGTTCACTCCATCTTTGTCAAGTGTTGAGCCACGCAGTTGATGATGAGAAATTCAAAAACTCAATTCATGGAGATAAACACGTCCTGGAAACATTTATTTGGCTTCTGTTCTGATCAGTGGAAACAGAAATATTTCCGAGGACTTACTCTAGTCCAGGCATGGTCCAGGGAAATGTGGGTATTGCAGGGAAAAAGCAGAAGTATAATAAATAAAATTGTACTGTATTGATCCCATAATTGGGAAATTGTTGTGTTAGCAGCAGATATGCAAGGGCCTAGCTTGTGGTTCCTCTGGGAATCGAACCCAGGACTCTCTGCTCTCTGAGGCAGGCATGCTAACTGTTACACTATGGAAACGAATGATAATATGATAATTTAATGATAATATAAATAAATTATATAATTTGGAAAAGTTTGGCGGGCCGGATAAAAATACTGAACGGGCCGCATCCGGTCCCCCGGACCTTAGTTTGCCCATGCCTGCTCTAGTCCGTGCTGCTGGTTTCTCACACCACTGGCGCGTCTGAGCTGGACAAACTGGATTATGACAGCAGTCTTTAATTGTTTTGTTAGTCACTTGTTTGTTTTTCTACATACTACGTTCACAGCTTATCTAAAAGTTGCATAATACAAAAAAGAATTCTCTTGCCTGTCATCACAGAAATATGTGGTGAGAGTCACGTTAACAGCAGAGAGCTGTCAATAACACGAACAACAGTGTTTTGTAATGAGACGGCGTCGTCACAGGGGGAGCTGTTTCTCATTAGCCTGTCACACC